ACTTAACATACACATCCCATTCCCAGGAACCAATAAATCTCTAAAACTGACCTAGGAAGGAATTCTTAAAGTCAGGAATCCCACATCCTCTGTCTTAAAAACAACTTGAAAGAGGCCGTTTGACCAAAACAAGGACTGACCAAAATTAATAATAAAAGACAAATGAAAACTACAGAAAAAGTTCACTTTCTTCAGAGACGCTCATTCACTCCTGTAGTTCACTGCTACTAATAAGCAGGAATTTCTTTTTTTTTTTTTTTTTTATGTTGGCCTTGCTGGCCGAAACTAGTCGAGGAACCTCATTGAAATAATAAAACTAAAAATATTAATATACAACACAGTGTGTCTGAAAATTTTAATTTTTTAATATTTTTATTGTTCAAAACACACACACACACACACACACACACATATATATATAAAAGGTAAAAGACAATAGGAAAACTGTATCTTAAGCAGACGTGTTTCGTCCAATGTGGACTTTTTTTTAAAGGAAAAATGGAATGAATTTATTAAAAACAAAACAAAATGTCCTTAGCAACGAGAAGAATATAGAAAAACGCTATTGTATTCATATTGTCAACTGAAAATTACCTCAAATTCGCCTTGAAAAAAGTCCAGTTTTCCTGTTGTCTTTTACATTTATACATATTGTCTTTTTCTACAGGTTAAATCTGAGAAATTTTTCACACACACACACACACACACACACACACACACACATATATATATATATATATATAGTTGAGAAAGGGAATGTGCGTGTTTGAAAATGACAAGTTTTAACATCTATTCTCATCATTCTTCTATTTGGTCCAAAGGCCTTATAATATACGATAAATAATATCATTTTTATTATCATTATTATTATGGTTGTTTTTTCTATTTCTCGAATTTCTTTTATAGGCCTACTACTACTGATACTACTACTACTACACACACATACACGCACGCATATATATATATATATATATATATATATATATATATATATATATATATGTTTGCATGGACAGTAGTTTCGAACTCCGGGTTTCACGCTTTCGAGATCTTCAGACAAACTGGTTTATTTTTTTCAAAAGTGAATCTATTTGTGTTTGATTATTTGTGTGAGGTGGAGGGGGAAATTTTTTCTTCTGTGTTTGTCTGGGATGACACTCACATATACATAGACACACACGCATATAGGCGTATGCATGTTAGTTCGTATGTACATACACACCCACGTTCATAATCTTGGGTTCGGCGTAGTTACACATTCATACGGACGAGCACACGTATTTACGCAACTTCCATTCTATTTCGATGTCAGGATTGTAGCGATTCATATGTATATTAATAGGAGGCAGGTGGGGATGGCTTTGAAGCTTTACTGGTCGGCTATTTGCTCTGGCATACATACACACATGTACTCATACATATGTCGACGCATTGACACATACACACATATGTAAGCAAATATATGGATATAGATCCGACAGTATGAAGAAAAATATATACGGAAAAAACAAAACAAAAATCCTTATATACAATTATGCTGTTTTAATGTTAATATGTCAACGTCTGACGTTTCGGTCTAATAAACCATCTTCAGGACATATTCATAAATTATAACATTATCAATACAACATGACAAAGACGATGTACATAAGAACAAGACTTATCCAAACAAATAACTGAAAGTTTTATAATATAAGCGCTCCGTTTAAAACGTGGTCACGTTGTCGTCACGTGGGCGACGCTGTGAAAACGTATTCCTAAAATTTTGAGTATTTTGAATGAAAAATGAAAAGAATTCTATTTTGAACTAAAATTTATATGTACGCTTGTCGAGCATTAATCTCGCTAGAAAAGGGGAAATATTAAAGAAACCAGGTCTAGTATTCACCATGCGTGAGATGGATATTATGCCTGCTTCATAAATCCGCCTAAGATTTTTATTATGAAAATATTTTAAAATCTTCACGGAATCAAAATCGAAATTATGATCTGCTTTAGTTGTGTGTACAACTATATAGCATTGTTTAAATTTCCGAGGCGAATATCTCGTTTATGTTCGAAAACACGAGATTTTACGGACCTACATGTTTTTGTATTGATAATGTTATATTTATGAATATGTCCTGAAGATGGTTTATTAAACCGAAACGTCAGACGTTGACATATTAACATTAAAACAGCATAATTGTGTATAAGGATTTTTGTTTTGTTTTTTCCGCATATATTTTTCTTCATACACACATATGTAGTTACAAACTACTATCCAAGCAACCACATATATTAGCTCTATCATAGATATTGAGCACTTTCCACTAAATATGGCACACACACACACACACACACACACACACACACACACACACACACACACACACACGTATATATAGTACAGTTAATAGATCCGTTGGTATATAATCCGGGTGGATTCTAGTAATATTAATTATTAAAACTGAACAATAGAGAGCTCGATGTATTTATTATAACAGAGCATATATTTTTTTACAACAATAAAACAAAAATTACCTCCACATGGGAATAGTCTATTTCAAGCTGGTCTGTACGCAGCTATCATCAGTTCCTAAGTCTCGAAGCATTGTTTTACAATTATTTTCTATGTGACTGGTAGATAGATAGGTGAAAGCTATGTTTAGAAGAAAAAATCAGGATAATAAAATATTAAGATCAATGCAAACTATTAAATCAACGTAGAGAACTAATCACGAAATGTAGACATAGGAACAGATTCAAAATTATATAAGGATACATGTGGAGGTGTATGTGTGCGTGTAGTTGCATATATGTATGTATATGTAAATATACATATATGTATGTGTGGAGAAATGTACGCATATATAAGTGTGTTGAACAGCATGATCTATTCCATTCGGTGCTACAATCTATAAATCTATCATTCAACTAATTTACTTTAATCATAACTGGTTTTAAGTTTAAATCCCCCATCATTTATTAATAATATTGGACCCTTGTAGTATAAAAAAAAACTATTTACTGAGAATCCCAGGAAAACACACTTGGTTCTTGTATAGGAAACGCTACATGTCAGGAACCGACAAACAACGAAAGGCTCTGGCCATAAATAAACTCCAACTCCAGACCACTTCCCCGGAATAAGATACCTTACGCCCTCCACCAGTCGCTAACACAAGCCTCTTCTCATTAACAAGGCGTCTACCAGAGGAGGACTGACATTGAAAATAAATGTAAAACAATGCTTCGAGACAGACATTTAGGGGCTGATGAAAGCTGCGTACAGACCAGCTTGAAATAGACTATTTCCATGTTGAGGCAATGTTTTCTGCTGTAATATATATATATATATATATATATATATATATATATATATATATATAACACCAAAGAAATGCGATACCTAAGGTGTAAAATGAAGTTTTAAAAAGAAAATTTTTTATTAAAGGTTTTATTTTTTTATTTTTTTCTTTCAAGCTAATACATAAAATTTAATATTTCCAATAAGCAAAATACTTTGCTGTATTTCAAAAGTAGTTTAAATTGATTGGAATGAGTTTTTTTTTTGAAAATCACAAAAAATGGCTGATTTTAGCCATATTCAGAATTGGGACAGTTTTCATCATGTATATTCATTTTTTAGCGAATCTTTATAGGTACCTATTATTTGCACTGTAATATTAAATACATTGAGCTCCTTTTGCGGATCAGTTTTAATATTTTATATTACCAAGATCCACTAGGAATATCTACCAACGGATTTGTTACCTTTACTATATATATATATATATATATATATATATATATATATATATATATATTGATAGTAAATATCCTTATTGATATATTGATAGTATAATAACCTTGTATGTTCCTTTATATATAAAAAGATGACTATGATACACTTTGTATATATTTTATACTTTTATTTAGTTGACATGTGGAAGCACGCATGGAAGAAGGCTACAGAAGTGGCCGATCATTTTGCTATTTCACGAAAATGTTAATGTCAACCAGATAAAAAACATGCAAAATATGCAAATAATATCTTAGTTATTACTTTATATATATATACATATATATATATATATATATATATATATATATATATATATATATATATATATATATATATATATAAAGTAATGACTAAGATATTATTTTACATATTCTATATATATATATATATATATATATATATATATATATATATAATAATATGCAAATAATATATAATTATAATGTAATATATATATAATATGCAAATAATATCTTAGTCATTACTTTATATATATATACTATATATATACTATATATATAATATATATATTATATATATACAATACGCAAATAATATATATATATAATATGCAAATATTTTAGTCATTACTTTATATATATATATATATATACTATATATATAATATATATATATTATATATATAATACGCAAATAATATATATATATATATATATATAATATGCAAATATCTTAGTCATTACTTTATATATAATATATATGCTTTATATATAATATATATATTATATATATATAATACGCAATTAATATATATATATATATATATACATATAATATGCAAATAATATCTTAGTCATTACTTTATATATATATATATATATATATATATATATATAAATATATATATATATATTTTTTACGAATTTTTCGTCCAGGATCAACATCTCATAAATTTAGAATCTGAAAGTGTTGTCAGTATTGATGATATGTTGGTCTACTCCAGAGGAACACGTCAGTCGAAATTTTAAAGGCTTTTTGTTTGAAAACTTGACTGTATTCCTCCTCTGAAAAGTACTTTCAACATTCTCTTCACCGTTCTTGCTTTTGTTGTCTTCTAAAATCTTAAACCCATTCATTTCCGATTTTCAAGCGACATCTGCTGCACATCTGCCAAACGTGGTGACAAGAGAAGGTGTTGCTGAAAGACATCAATGCTTACTTCTCTACGTTTATTCTGAGGAAGCTGGCAAATTTAATAGTTCCCTACAGAAAGAATAAAAAAAGGAAAGAAAGAAAATGAAAAAGAGAAAATAGTTTCGTCTCTACCCGTCATAGGAAACATTAAAATTGTGCTCTTAATTTTAAGAAGAAAAAGAAGAAGAAGAATGAAGATGAAGAAAAAGAATAAAGAAGAAGAAGAATAAAGAAGAAAAAGAAGAAGAAGAAGAAGAATGAAGAAGAAGAATAAAGAAGAAGAAGAAGAAGAAGAAGAAGAAAAAAGAAGAAGAAGCCACCGCTGTAGAGTCAAAGGAAGAAATTTCAATTCTAGACCGGGTTTATTCATTCAGAGAAAAAAAAATAACATTAAAAAAATCAAAACAAAGAAAAACAACAATTGATATTGAAAAATTAAAACTCAAACAATAAAAAGACAAAACGCAACAAATAAAACGTTTTTGTATTTTGTATTTTGTTGTGAAACCCCAAAGATTACACCAAAACTATAATATTAAAAAAATCGCTCATATCATCGAGTGGGCCTTTTTTTTTCTTTTTTTTTTTTGTGATATTTTTTTTTTTTGTCTGTCCCCAAACAATTCTAGCTTAGATGGCAGGATTTCATTCTATTTATTTGCAAATTCTGATTGATTGGCCAATATTCTTCGCCATTAAGATCTTTGGCACTACTTAAATTGTCTGGTCCGCTCGTAAAATATGAAGAAGAATATTTTAGGGAATTATTAATTTTAAGGAATAGTTTTTGGGAGATTAACATTCATTAAATTCTTCTCAAGCCTCGCTGTTTGTCAGAATCGAAAAATATACATTTTTATTTATGATTTTAGAAGACTTATTCATGATATAAGTACAGCATCAGACTGATCCCCAATGTCATAAAGAGTTATCTGCACTTTGTTTTATTTTATTTTTTTCACTAAGGTTTGAAAACTTTGGTTACTGCCTTGATAACTGTGAAGTATTCATGTTGATCTTTTCCCAAATCGTAATAGTATCCAGTTATGAAAGATGTAAGCACAGACTCAAAGTTTACATTTGTAAATAAAAACAAAGTACAGTTAACTCTGTAAAAAGTCATGGATCGATTTGATACTATATTCATATTGTGAATATGATGCCTCTTCTAAAATGATAAAATAAAAATCTATACTTTTTGATTTTGACAAATGTCGTGACTTGTGGGAGTTCGAATGAATGTTGTCAAAATTATTTCCTAAAAACGTCTCCTCTATTTTTTTCCGCGCCGACCAGTCAATTTACATAGTGCTATATTTTAAAATCTTTCTTTTTTACATTCCTATCGCTTGAAATCTAAAAGGATGCTGAAAAGTTCTCGGTCCAAACCATTTCTCAAAGTCCGACCAAATGATCAAACATTAAAATTTTGTTTTGGAAGGACTTCTTGGTTGGTCCGAAAACACTACAGTATGCCCCCTTTTCGTACATTTGAAGCAGTTCCTTTTTTAATATAAATTTTAATGGCCTTTCTTTCTTTTCAAGTGACATTGTCAAATATTATTTCAAGATAACGTGCTTATATATGAAAGTAAAATAAAATAATTTATAAATAAACAGACACTAGTTGGATTCGAACCCATATAGTCAACATTATTTCTCTATATAAAACACGAAGTAACTTTATATCAGTCACGCAGCCGCATCTCCATTTCTTATTAATAAGATATCCCGTTGTTATAGTAACTAGACACTAAATAGCAAACATAGTCTTACCATAATAACAGAATATTTATAAGTAGGATAGATCAGGATGCCGATATATTACTTTTTATTTCTTTTGCTTCGTGTTAGGCTAACTTTAATTTTAGTTTTAATAATTTCATAAGAAAACATTTTCTTACGTGCCTCAATTGAGTTTATTGTGCAGATAAAAATCTTAGAAAATAAAGAAAAAATAAACAATTCAATTGCGAAATTGAAATAGTTGCCATTTTTATTGTTCTAGTCATGTTAGCTTTCTTTTGAATTTGCTTACGTTTAGTCTAAACGTAAGCAAATTCAAAAGAAAGCTAACATGACTAGAACAATGAAAATGGCAACTATTTCAATTTCGCAATTGAATTAGTTATTTAAGAAGCAGAATTTCTTTTTACGCAAGACAATAGCGTTAATTGTAAGGATAAGCGTCCTAGATTACTTAAGTAGAAAACTTTTTAGGGATAACTAATTCTGTTATAATCCCTTTAACTGTTCCAGAGAGCTGACGCCAGGTACAGTGTTCGAATCTTACCAGCGCCTAATTAATTCAAATATCACCATTTCAAATGAAAATATAAAAGAACTTTATAATTTTGAAGAAGAAAAAAATCAAATAGAATGAATTATCAAGTCATTATTTTGCAATTTTAAAGAATTTTGAAAAAAAAAAGAAGGAAAAAAAAAAAGAATTTTATTAGAGAAAGATCAAATTTCGGACAATTCTATATGTGTGAATTTTGGTTTTATGATCCGCAAAAAAAAAAAAAAAAAAAAAAGACATGGCGTATCGAACACACAGATAAAAAAAGCCCCAATTTTTTGTAATTATTTGTATAAATAATATTATTTGATTGAAATTGGTTCTAATGTTGTATGTACGTCTCATTCATATGATAAAATATCAAGATTGTTTTAATCTTCGCATGTTCGTCACATTCAAGATTAGTTCTTATTCGTATTTTGTTTTCTTTTTCATATCTTTCGAAGGATTAAAGCCGAGTATTAAAACCACATCTTTGGTACAATTAAGGAAAAGAAAAAAAAATGTAATAATGTTTAGATATTATTTGAAACCCAAGAAGAGATCGTCAAGAAATTGTTGACGTCCATAAGTGTGTCAATCTCTCTCTCCGTCTCTCCGGTTTGGTTTCGTTTCGTCCAATGCATCCATTTTTTTTTCTTTCTCTCACTGACATATTTACACCCGATCGTAAAATATATGTTCACATGTTTGTACATAAAGGAAAAGAAAAAAAAAAAATCAAACTATTTTAACCAGAAACTCAATTCTTCATGATGAACAGGCAAAAGAAAACAAACTCAACAGTCCAAGTTTGTTTTGAATTGGATATTCATTTACAAATACAGCTGAATTTCTTTATTCAAATAATAATAAAAAAATGTCACGTTTATTTTTTTGCTTTGTTTTTACCCCATTATTTAAAAAAATGAATAAGTAAAGATGTTTTTCTTCTTAAAATTAAACAGAATATCTTGTAATGGCAACAAGGTTACGGAAAATTAAACTGAAAACTATTTTAACCAACGCGAAAGGTCCACGCGAGTATAATTGGACAATGAGAGTCAGTGATAAGATCACGAATCATGAATTACCCTTTCTCTTGAGTCCAGTTTTAGAAAACTTACATCAAATATGTATCAAAACTTTTACCTCTTTCAATTTGTGATAAGAATGATTAAAAATATCGATAATAGTTAAGTGTTTATTGCTTCAAGGTTTCTTAATCAGGGTTTCTAATATTTTGAAAATGAACAAACGCATGACTGCACCGTAAAAACAGAACTGGTTATATTAATACAGAGCTCTTGAAACAAGAGAAATGGGGAATATTAAGTGAAAAAAAAAAAAAAAAAATAAATAAAAAACCATTGTTGTATAGCACATCGAATATTACTGGGAATTCACATATTTTCCCATTTCATCCCACTTCAAAGACAGTTTATTTGGTAAAAATGGAGAATAACGCCACGTCCACATGCGCGCGCATGCAAAATTAAGATAAAATAGCCTCATTTCATTGATTATTTTAATAGTGGCAGAAAACAGATCTTGAAATTACCTTGTAAAACGTTATGTTTCTCAATTATTAAAACGTAATTCTTGAAGAACAATAATTCAGAATCGTTCAGAAAAAGAGATAATTTAAAATATTAAAAAATTGCAATTAAATAAATAAGAATAAATCTTTTAAAAATTTATTAACGGCTCTCTCACAGAATATTTCATGAAAAAAGCAATTAAAACATTCGAAACATAAGATTCAAGTTTTATTTCCTGGTTAAGGGCTTAAAATTAAGTTTTCAACCGATTTGATTTCTTTGAGAACTTATCTTTAAACATGTAAATATTTACTGTGCAAAACTGTATATTAAGATTTCAAAATAATTAACGGCCGGTTAATATTAACTTTAAGTTTCCGTAACAGTTTCTTACAAAATTTCCTTTTCATAAATAAATTCAATTTCAAATAAACAAGTTTACAAAATATGCATACGCAGGGCGTCGTTATTCCACAGTTTTAACTTTTATTTTGGAATTTTTAGAGATTTATAAAATTTTTGTGGAAAAGTAGACCTTATAATCCATCAGACAAGGTAGTTTGTTGTAAAATATTCACCTGTTTTTTTTTTTAATTTTATTTTGCGTGTTATTTGTACAACTTGAGAACAAATTCTTTAAAGAGTGGAATATTTTTTTAACAGCAGCAGTTAATGAAAAAGTCAAAATACAGAGCAAAGGGCGGTAAATCTTTTGAGACGGCAGACGATTGTGTCAAGAGAGAGAGAGAGAGAGAGAGAAAGAGAGAAAGGAAAAGGAGAGAAAAGAGAAAAAGAAAGGAAAAGGAGAGAAAAGAAGAGAGAGAGAAAGAGGCAAAGGAAAAGGAGAGAAAAGAAGAGAGAGAGAAAGAGGCAAAGAAAAAGGAGAGATAAAGGAAAAGGAGAGAAAAGAAGGGAGAAAGAGAAAAGAAAAAGGAGAGAAAAGAAGAGAGAGAGAGAGAGAGAGAGAGAGGGGGGGAAAGAAACATCATGTCTTTCGAAGAGATTTAACACATTCGTTCTTCCATACAAATAACACTTTAAACACATACCCATATCTACAATGTATATATATATATATTTTCAAGCATTTTGGTTGAATAATACCGACAAGTTCTGCTAATCCAATTGTTTATAAACTTTTCAAATTTACGAATTAGTTGTTTATAATTTATATAATCAGAAAATTTACCAAAATTCATTTTTATTTTTTTTACCCCCGGGTACTTTCGAATGTTACTACATTCATTTTTAAGAATAGTGTTTTGGGTATGTATCAGTTTTTAGTTAAATTACGTTAACTTGGTTCCAGAAATCGACAGAACGCCAGAGTTAACCTACAATAAAAAGGAAAAAAAAATGAACTTTGGTAAATTTATCGATTATATCAGAAAATTAGGAAGTTTGAAAAGTTAATAAAAAATTGGATAGATAGAATTTGACGATACTATTCAACCAAACATGTTTGAAATAATTCTTGCTGCCAAAATACAACTTGTTTAAACATATATATATATATATATATATATATATATATATATATATATATATATATACTTTGATCCGTACCAAGATATATTGAGAGATAACTTCATAGATAGATAGATTGATAAAAGTACATTGGTAGATGGATAAATTTTGCTTATCGAAATTGCTGTTTCTTCTAATTTTTTTTGTTTCTCGGATTGTCTTTACCGTTTTTTTTTCTTTAGTAATGAGAGGCATACAAATATCACACAAAAGGCCGTCTGTTTCATGAAAAGAGGCAACCCCAACGCTGAGCGATCATGTAAAAAAGCTGGGGATAAAGTCTAGCCAGGGGGTACAAATCAACCGGTTAAAGAGACGCCGATAACAGTTGGAACAATAGCAATTTTGTACGTTCAAGACGAAATAGTTTCTACAGTCGAATACTCCAAAAATTAATTCTTATGGACAATCTGCAAATATAAGACCAGCAAAATAACTAGAAAGTTAAACAGTACTAAAAATGTCCCCATTACCTCTAGGAAGTTGACATGAACCATTGCCGACACGTTTTTTTTTTGTTTTTTTTTTGTTTTTGTTTTTAAATAATAAATCTTTATTTCAAAAACACACACAGACATACGACGTTAATACTGAGACTGCTACGGCGTAAATGTGACACCATTTTTTTTTTTTTTTTGTTATTAGTGTTATTGTTATTGACTGCGACAACTAACCCAAGCTAACCCATGTGACAAAATATAAAAATGGGTCTAAGGTTTTCTAATAAAGAGTTTGAAAGATTTTAGAAGCAATTGTGGACCCTGCACACATTGAGATTGTCGTCTGTTTGTGCTGTTGATGTTTTTTTTTTAACGCTTTTCTGGTGAAATCGTCTCCATTTTTTTTTTCATTTTTTTTTTGTATACTGAATGTTTTTGTTTTTTGCAAAGCTCATGATGAAAAAGAAAGCAATAATGAAATAAATAAATAAATAAATAAAAAAAGATCAAACCTTTTCCTTTCACACGAAGACATTTTTCATCTAAATTTATTCAATAATGACACACCCGGTTTCTCGTATGTACCTTAATCGAGTATCTGTGTGTAATATTTAGTTGATTATATATATATATATATATATATATATATATATATATATATATATATATATATATATATATATATTTGTTGATATATGGAATGTGTTGATATTTTCTTTCAAATATTTCTTATTTCTTATGATATTCAAATTGGAAATTAAATAAAGAATATAAGACGTGAAAAAATGTTTCTGACGAATGTTACTGTCGATTGTTATTTTCTTGACAAAAGGTGAGATCTAGATTTGCATAAATGATGACACCATAATAGGGACTTTTATATGGGCCGACGAAAGGGACTCTTCAAAATTTAACAATAAAATTTTATAATTGTGTTGACAATTCTTTGTGAAAGGAGGACAAACCCTTTGGATAATTGAGTGAGGACTTTAATTGATGAGTGGAGGAGAAAGTCGATGACTAAACTGCTGTTCCTGGGAGACATGATTTGATATATATATATATATATATATATATATATATATATATATATATATATATATATATAAAAAAAAAAATCCGTGGATAAATAATCCAAGTGAATCCTAATAATATATAATATTAAAACTGATCCACAAAAGAAAGATCAATGTATTTATTACATATATAAATAAATTACATATAACAGAAATTCAAAAATACTCCATATGTCATATTTCTCCTCGCAAGAATTACCTTGCAAGGACTGTCAACACCGAGGGGGTTTGGAGGGGTTTTGCATGGAGAAATAGCTTACATATGGAGTATTTTTGAATTTCATTATATGTAATTTATATATATATATATATATATATATATATATATATTATATATATATTTCTGAGTTGAAGTGGCCTCCGAGATTTAAAATTACTAATATAGAGGGTCACTCGGAAAGGTAAGGTGGCGATTAGAATGAGCTTTTCGATAGTTGTTTGTTTGCATGATTGGGAAACCCAAGAAGAAGGACGTTGCCCATAACCTGGCTCAGTTAATTTGTGGGTATCCGCGCGCTTATTCTGTCGCATTGTTAGCTTTCGAAATATTCATCGTATTTTTTTTTTTTTTAAATAATAATAAATAAAAAAAATAAAAACTGGTATTATATGGTAGTCTAGGCATTCATTCGTTAAGACTTTACCTTCAGCCTGGAAATTGTCCAATTTTTTCACTGCCATATAAGAGATTAGATATTGCGTAACAGTTCAACACTTTTGTTTTTGATTTTAACTATTTTTTTCTTTTTATGTATAACGGTTTATTATAACGATTTTTCTCTTAATACTTTGCTTAGTTTCGGGAAAGAATCTTCCCTATTTTTATACGCCTTGGGATTTCTATGTGATCATCTTTTATTTTTTTTTTAACCATACCATCAATTAAGGCAGCAGGCATTACGACATATATACATATATGTGCCATGTTCTTTCAGGAAGTAAGCGATTATAGCTCTTCCCCATTTCCTGTCCTTTTTTTTTTATCCGGTTCGTACTGACTAAAAATAAGAATTGTTATTAATTCCCTTTATATTGTTTACTGGAATCGATGAAAAATGATCATGCATTCACTCATCGTGTATAATACGCACTGAAATATTTTTAGAATTTCCAGCTGCTAAATTCAACATAAATTTTTAAAAAGTCTATAGCGTATATTATAGTGAACGTCCATAAGACGATACAGTTTGGTCAGACTACGTTTTACTTTGTGTGCAATTTGCATGTGGCCATTCATATGCAAGCGAGAGAGCGTAGAGTTGATTTGTATGAATGGTATACCAATTTCAATGTAGCATTTGAGGATTACTGATGGAAGGAATTTGCACTAAAGAATGATTACTTATTTTTCGATCTGACTATTTAGGAAGAATTTAGAGTCGATAAGGCGTTTCATAGAAACAAATACAAAGTTTGTATAAATCTTACTGATAGAAGGGGGTCAAGTAGCGCCCAGGAAGCACGAAGAACTACCGAAATTATTCGTGTATAGTACGCACGCTTAACTTTGGATCAGAAAATTCTCGAAAAATAAAAACTCGTGTATTTTTTGTAATTTGTAATTTAACGCAAATCTAAAGTTTGTATAATTTTTTATCTGGTGCCTACCGAGTAAAAATTACTAGAATCTATGAAAACTGATTTTGCTATAACTCCTTTTGCATAATACGCGCCGACTTCTCCGAATTTGTAGCAACTAAATTTAACACAAATTTGCAGTTTGTTAAATTTCTTATGCAGTTCGATTTAAAAAAATTATATTGTTTACATTGATATAGTTTACTGGAATGTATGAAAACTAATTTTATCCTAATTTTCATTCCTCGTGTATAATGCGCACTGATATTTTAGAATTTATAACGGGTAAATTTAACTTTTGTTCAACTTTTTATTTATTTTCTATCGACTAAAAATCATTTATATAGTTTACATGATGCTTTAAAAGAGAGATATATGGATTTCATGAGCCAGAAGACAGTTAACATCAAAACTACGGATGGGGCGAAAAACTCATTTTACACTTAATGTTAGTTGTTATTTGTGAGGGGGAGAAAAAGCTGCCACCATAGGTTGTTTTTAAGAGAAAGACCATGCCCATGGAGACATTTCGGTAAGGAATAGAGGTCCGTGTCCACGAGAAGTGTAGGCTTGACACAGGGATGATGCATGACTCTTTCAAAATGGTTTACGTAAGACGTCCAGGTAAAACATCCACCTTACTCGTCTTCGACGCGTTTAGATTCCATCGAGAGAATGAAGCGTAACATTAACTGGAAATCGATGAAAATCCGCTGTACGTCCCCATCAATAAGCTATTCAAGTTGTTTTCTCCGCCAAAAGGTGAAACCAGTGGACAGCAAAGGGCCACGAGTCATTCAATTCGACAGGCCACATTCGCTGACTGGAGCTTTCCTTTTAAGTACATGGATACTGGAAGCCTAGCAGAACACCCCTGAAACCATCGTAGCAAAGTCATGCAAAAAGAAAAAAAATGTTGAATCACAAACTTACTGGACGGCAATGAAGATGACATCCTTTTTTGAGGGAGAAGGACAAAATGACTCTGTGGACAAAGACATCAACTACGTTGACAACATAGATGAACATCTCATGACGTCGACCTTTGACATGGATAACATTAAAAAAACCCACTAAATTGTGCTTAATATCGCTGTGAATAAAGAAATAAAAAATACCGGGTTTGGTTAGTTATTTTGAACTGTTTGTTACACAAGTTAGTTTGGCTCATAGATATAACGAACTTTGTCATGCTGTCCTGAATATGGCGATGCCCGTGTCCGGATAATAGTTAACCCTTAGTTCTCGTGTATAATACGCACTATTTAAATTTTAGGGTTTAAAATCTGGAAAGAATGAGTATTATACACGAATAATTACTGTAGACAGATAAAAATAGTTGGATGATTGGCGGGGTATTATTTT